GTAACTACTGCTTTCTTGCATGGTGATCTTGATAAAAATATTTATATGCACCAACCTAAGGGCTTTGTGGACTCTAAATTGCCTGATCATGTGTGTTTGTTAAAAAAAGTTTTGTATGGTTTAAAACAATCACCTAGACAATGGAATATTAGATTTGATAAATGCATGCAATCTTTAAAGTTTAAAAAAAGTTCTGCTGGTCATTGCCTGTATTATAAGAATATAGACTCTGTGCCTGTATTTCTTTTAATTTATGTGGATGACATATTGATTGTTAGTCCTTGTTTGAAGTCTATTGAGCATGTTCAAAAATGTCTTTGTGAAAATTTTGACATGAAAGACTTAGGCAATGCAAAAAGAATTCTAGGCATGAATATTATTAGGGACAAAAACAAATCTACTCTAGTTTTAAACCAAAGTTCATATATTAAAAAAAATTGAGTAAATTCGCTATGTCTGATGCCAAATCTGTGAATATGCCTTTTACTTCTCATTTTGTGTTAAGTAAGGATTAGTCCCCCAAGACAGAAACTGAAATAAATGATATGAAGCAGGTGTCATATTCGAATGCTATAGGATCGGTCATGCATCTCATGGTTAGTACTAGGTCTGACATTGCATATGCGGTTAGTTGCTTGAGTAGATATATGTCAAATCCTGGTATGCCTCATTGGAACGCCTTGGAATGGCTTTTAAGATATTTAAAATCCTCTGTGGATATAGGATTAACCTTCTCTAAGTGTTCTGAAGGTGTTAAAGCTTTTAAGATATTTAAAATCCTCTGTGGATATAGGATTAACCTTCTCTAAGTGTTCTGAAGGTGTTAAACTAGTTGGCTATGTAGATTCCAATTATGCAAATGATAGGGATAATAGAAAATCTACCACTTCCTATGTGTTTACTTTGTGTGGCTCTTGCATAAGTTGGAAATCCCAACTACAACCCATTGTTGCTTTATCTACTACTGAATCTGAGTATGTTGCTGCCACTGAAGCTTTTAAAGAAGCTATTTGGCTTAGGGACCTTATATCTGAAATTGGTTTTCTTGATAAAAATATGGTTGTATTTCTGATAGTCAATTTGCTATTCAACTTTGCAAAAATCCTGTATTTCATGATAGAACTAAACATATTGATGTTAGATTTTATTACATTCGGGATATAGTTGAAAAATGTATTGACAAGTTGGAGAAAATTCCCTCAGAATTTAATCCGGCTGTCATGGATACTAAGTGTTTGCATGCTGAAAAATTTATCTTGTGTCAAAGAATCTTAATTTTTGACATTGGGTAATTTTCTTTTGCTCTGTGTGTTGCCTTTGTGGCCTATTGACTTGCTTTGTGGTTTAGTAGCTTTGTGATTTTTCCCTTTGAACTCGATGACCGTTTGGTAGAGTTCGGTCCTCTAGGGACTTGGTATGCTTGGTGATCTTACTTTGATCATTGTGATCTGAGTTTACTTTGTGTATTCTCTTCCATTGCTTGTATCTTCTTTGTGATCATACAGGTAATGGTTTGGCGATGATGAGTTCTGCAGTTCCGTGTTTTTTCTCAGTGCACTACCTTAGGCCAAAGGTGGAGATTGTCGCTATTTTATTGGCCCAACACCCTTTGCTGGCCCATTTGCTAAAAAGCCAGTGCCCCACACCTTTGTTCTTTCACATCTCCCATCCATGTAGGTCTGCTCCCACCTTTCCGTCATACCCTAGCCTATCTCTCTTGTCGGCTGCCCCCTTGATAAAATGACAGAGAGAAGTAAGACGGGTGAAAAAAAAGAGAACCCGAGCTTTGTGCTCCTCTGCTTTGTGCGATCCTCTCCCCCTTTTGTGAGCTTTTCCCGTCCATCGCTTTGTGCGATCCCTTCACCCTTTGTGAACGAAACAAGAAGAAGAACAGTGGCTAGCTTCCCCTTGTCCTGGTAGTGCACAAGGAAAGAACAATGACTGGTTGAGCAGGTGACCTGAGCCAAACAATGACGACCTCAAAAAAACTCTACAAAACTTGTATCAAACTAAATTTAAAACTAGCTCGAAACCCTCTAATATGCTCCTTCACAATCATACTTTAAGCTTCTCTTTCTTCGGTTCTTGTAGAAATTGCAAATCAAGCGGAAGGACAGAGTATTGAATCTTAAAATGTTCTTTGTTATCTTTGATCATTAAAATTATCTCCTAGGGCCTTATAAATTATAATGGTGAGATATCTAACATATACATAAATATAAGCTTGTAGATGTAGGGTCCTAATTTTGCTTATGTATACCAAGTATAGGATCGTGACCCTTAAGAATAGAGTGCGCTCTTATAAAAATCTGCGGAAGCTTTACACTTCAACACTAGAGGGTGAGTTTGCAAAATAGATTATAAATTGCAAAGAAAGAATGGCAATCTCAGAAAATAAACATCACAAAGACAAGCATGTATACTGGTTCCACCCTCCCAGTGTACATCCAGTCCTTAAGCAAATCCCGCTTGAGAGTTTCCACTATGATTTTAAAACCTTACAAAATCAAAAGCAAACCTAACCAATTTGCAAGACCATGCAAATTGTAACACCAATTGACAAGACCATGCCAATTGCCACCTAATCTCTAAACCAAGAGATCAACCCTCTCAAACCTGAGAGAAATCCTTTTTGAAGCAAGAACACAATTGATCCTATAAGCCTTGAATGTGTAGTGAAGTGCAGTAGTGGCTTAGGATTCTTTTAACTCTCTGAATATTGCCTATACAATCTCTAAGAATAATTAAAACCAAGGCAATATCAGAAACTCTCTTTTTCAAAACACTTAGCATGAAAATCTGGAAAACTAGAGAGTGAATATGCACAAATGTTTGATCTTATGTGTATGAATTAGTTGTGCAAATTTCTGAACTTATAACTCATTTATAGCCCTTGAAAAGACAAGTTTTCAACCCCTAAAAACGTACACAAAACAGCTATAAACAGTCACTTATACAAAACCTGAAATATGAAAAAACCGCATCTGTAGTCGACTACAAGTTATAGTAGTCGACTACACTGAGTCTAAACAGACTCTGTGAAGTCAGAAAATTGCTTAGTAGTCGACTACAAGGCATAGTAGTCGACTACATTGTAAACTCAGATTCTGAAATTTTCTTTTTAGTATTTTGACTGTAACTTTCTCATCCGATATCGGAAGGATGTGATTTAAGATTTGTTGGAAAGCTCTTGAAGAGGCCTACAACTTTGATCTTTTAAGTTTTTCCAGATTCTAATTGATAAGGGGTATAAATAAAATGTTTTAAGACTCACTCAATATCTATAAACTCTAATGGCTAGCATATGTGATTTCTATTGTTAACCAACATACTAAGCATGTGTTAGTGTGTTCTAACACTATGTGTGTGCATGTGTGTGAGTGATCAAGGCTTGTACAAATTTCTAAGCAAAGAAAATGTAAAATTATATTTTGACAATAAAGTATATCTTCTTCTTTGCTTCATTTTGCCTTGAACTCATCTATGTCTTGAGTATCTCTTTGAATATAATTATTGATATAGCTCTGATACTGCAAAACAAATGTTAGCACATAATACACATAATATATAATATTTGTTATCATCAAAATAAACTAATCTTGGGGTCAAGATTCCTAACAGTAGATGCTTCAGTATGGCTGTTATTGTTGCACGTAAATAAATAGACTATAGTAATTGTCAAGAAAAACATCGCCTATTAAGAGTAAACTTGTTTACAATTTTTTTTAAAAATATTCCTGTTTTCCCATGTTTTCTTCCAGTTATAAAAAGTTACTGGTAGTTTACACCATTAAAGCCTAGCCATGCCATCCTATTTCTCTTAGTTTTGGGGCATGTATGGTTCGAATATCATTAAAAAAAAGGAACAGGAGAAGTGGACAAAAAATAGTTTCCAAGTGTTTCTACAAATTTTTATGAAATTTATTTCGGTTGTGTCAGAAATTGGGGGTTTCTATCTTGAGTACCTTTCCTAGTTTGGTTCAAAAGCACAAAATAAGGAAGCCCAAAAATAAGAAAAGGTTTCTCCCCTTTTTTTTGTTTGTTTCACTTGAGAAAGAAGAAAATAGGAAAAGGTGTCCACCAAGTAGAGAAAAGGGTAACATTTTAATGGGATAAAGTGGGTTTTGTCAGATTGCCACTCCTTTTCCCGAGGAAGTGGGTTTAAATATACCCCTTTTCTTTACTTTATAGAAATCTCTCTCTTTAAACCAAATGAGCTTTAGGAAACCTATAGACACCATTTAATTACAAAAATGTTAGTGTAAGACGGTTTCGATAAAATTTTCTATAAATTTGGTGAACCAAACACCCTTTAGAATAGTGACATTTACACTACTACTGCTACACTACTACAATATACGAGAGAAAATTGTGGGGACCAATTCTCTTTTAACTATTTTGAAAATAGGTGATTTATCAAGGGAGCCCACACTTCTCGCTTACGGTGTGGAAGTAGTGTTGGAAGGAGTAGTGTAATTATCATTATTCTAATTTTAAGCTTTCCATATATAGATTTGCAAATTGTCTTTGCACTTATCAGGTGAGGTATAGGGCGTTTCATTGAAAGATATATGCAGACAAATTGTCTTTGCACTTATCAGGTGAGGTATAGGGCGTTTCATTGAAAGATATATGCAGAATCCAGTGTCCAACTCCATAAATCCCTCACTCAGGAGGTATAGGGCGTTTCATTGAAAGATATATGCAGAATCCAGTGTCCAACTCCATAAATCCCTCACTCAAGACACTCGTATTCTAAGCTAAGCCCATAACCAGAAGCAATAACAATAAGAATAAATATTACTTCCTGGTCCAAGCAGATCCAGAAAGATTGATGTCAAAACCTCTTAAACGCATACTTCTTGAACAGTCTTCACCACATCACTGTTTTCACTGTGTTGGTAATAGTACTATTTCCTTTCTCCCTTTAGGTGCAAATAATGGATGTTCTAAATAGAAGAAGGCATGCACATAGACGTAATAAAATAAAATAAAAATACCTTTGATCAATGGAGATCTAGTTCCCCTTCTAGCTCCAACTCTACATGTGATTCAATCTGCACGGATTCCCTAAATTGTTGCATCAATATTGAAGGCTCTAAAATAAAATCAAGGAAAGTTAGTTACCGGCAATTTTAAACTTGACTTTGTGTCCTTCCACTTCTTCCACACAAGATAGTCTCCTAGAAGGACATATTCGAACAACGCTATTTGACGTAGAACTGCATCCACCTGCAAAAATCAATAACAGGACTGATATTTGCATTCCAAGCATGTGTCTACGTCTAAAGAATCAAACAACCTAATATCAAGCAGATCTAACAACTACAATGAAAAGCTAATTAAAAATGAGACAAATTTAACAATGAACAATTGAAGGATTTTATTTCGGGATTACCGATTAAGAAAATTTCACCAGCTAAGTTTCAAAATGCATTTATTTTTTCTAAGATTTTATAACAATCAATGCCATAAATGAGGAAATTAGCGCAATTAACGATAAACTAATTATAGCAGGAACCATGTTAGCGAGGTGGATAAAATGTCTACTGGTCCACAATTTTCATAAGGACCACGAGAGCAACTACCCCCCCTGCACCCCCCCCCCCCCCTTTACAAAAAAAAGTAACACATGTTCACCTTTACATCTTTCTCTTAGTCATTTTAAAGTTCATCTATGAACCTTTCTTCTAGTTCGTAGACAACTTTAGCCAGTCCAAATTAAAGTCCATTTGCAATGGAGCTAAAGGAGATTCATGGGCACATGGATAAAGAATGATGTTAATATCCAATCAAATCAAATTACTGATTATAGTCATTGGCAACAAGAAATTACCCCTTTTTCATCTCCATGCTTCTGTGGAGAACAAGCAAAGCAGATGTCTCAAGAAGACATGAGATAAATAAAATCTAACCCAAAATATTATACATATCCTCAATATATAGTTATATAATAATAAACTCAGTTGGAAAGAAAACTAAAACTATCCTAATTTGAAGTTAAGCCTTAAATGTCATGCTTTCTGCACATAGCTTGATCATCATCTTCATCAATAGGTACATGTATAGACTCACCCTTTGTTCCAAGACTCTTTCAGCAACTCCTCCACTTATTACAATCTTCAACCTTTAGAATCTTCTGCAATAAGATCCACCCTAGTTCAGACTCTTCTGCAATAAGATCCATAATCCTAAAGTGATCAGATCCGGACCCTTGGCCAATCAGAACCCAATTGCCTCCGACATTGCGAGCTTGCTCCTGTTACCCAATCATCATTGCGCTCATGATTGCTGCAGAGCTAGGAATGATGCGGAATTTGTAACTAGATTGTAGGTTGCTGCCGAGATCAAGGGTCGAGTCAGACTTTTAGAGCTCGTCAGGAGAAAATATCCAAATCACGTTTTAGATGGAGTTGTAGGTTAGGAGTAAACCCAAAAATCCTTTCCCTTTGTTTTCTCTGATGCCATGGAAACTAAGTCTAGGCAACAATTTCTCACCCATTTAGCACTAGTCTCCATGTCCGACTCTGATGCCATGGAAACTAAGTCTAGGCAACAATTTCTCACCCATTTAGCACTAGTCTCCATGTCCGAAACATGATGCGTACCAAATGTTTGCAGACAGATATAAGGGGTATTATCAAGGTAAAAGGACGAAAGGTTTGTACTCGAGAAGATTGCTGAATACGAACTCCTACAGGTTGACAGTTTAAGTTCAAAAGTGCAGTTACCTCAAACATTTAATAGGAGATAAATATGCACACAAGATGGACATAAAAAGAAGTCTAGAATACAGAAGAGAAGACTATCTGATAAGGAAAAATGAAATAATTTTCTATTCTATACGTGTTGGTGACAGCTGCTGGATAACAGAAAGTTAATAGATACAATATTTATCTGATAGTACATACCTTCTTGGTGACAGCTGCTGGATAACAGAAAGTTAATAGATACAATATTTATCTGATAGTACATACCTTCGCACAATGCTCCTTTGTTAAAAGAAGAACATATTTTTCAGCTTTGTCCATTCCTGGACAATTATTATTTTGTTCTCTTACAATTTGTTGAAATGTATTGACCTAAGAAGTTCGACAGTTGGAAGTAAAGTTAGGGTTGATAAAAAACCAATTGATGAGCATACTGGAGAAAATGCATACCTTTCTTTTTTCTTTATCAGCAGACACCATCTTTTTCAGAAAATAGCTACTCAAAGTATTGAATGCATACCTTTCTTTTTTCTTTATCAGCAGACACCATCTTTTTCAGAAAATAGCTACTCAAAGTATTGATAGCCTGAAATAGTTCTCTCAGCAGACACCATCTTTTTCAGAAAATAGCTACTCAAAGTATTGATAGCCTGAAATAGTTCTCAAAAATATTACAATTGAAGATAAAGCAAATATATGATGTTGTAAATATATATGCACACAAGTACCTTGTCACTTTCGGGATGATTTTTGAGAAAATTTGCTAAACTATACACTTCGTTTTCACGATCTTCACGGAAATTCTCTGCATTGCCACGGAGATCAAGTTCGGCTTCAACGATTAAGGTAAGAAGCTGCAAAAAGATAAAAGTGTTAGCAACTTAAGCTGAAAGCCTACTTCATGAGAAATTAATGTACTCATATATAACCTCATAATCGTTTTCTGCCAATTGAACTAGCAAAAGTTTTCGAGTAGTATCTTGTAGCGTTCGAATATTTCTTGATGTTGCAGCGAATAACGAATCAAATGCATCCTCCAAGCTAGATAATCGACTCCATACACCGAAATACGTATTTACCATTTCGCGGGACAACCCTTGTGCAATATATTGCAACTTTAAAGCCTGCAATACCATGGATGAAGTAAACTATTGAGTCTTGAGTTCTCTAAAACTGCAAAACAATGCAAAACAGACACCTGAAAAATATTAGATAGTACAAGATGCATGATTGAAAAGAATTCATATTTGGGCAAGCAGACTGGATCACGTTCTGAAGGAGGGTAATGCAAGACAAACACCTAAAAATTGAGCTGCACAGAATATGACCATGAACCATGAAGATTCTCATTCTCTATCTTATTCATTTCAACTCAAAAGAGATAGAACATAGAGAATATTCTTAACACCAACTAACTTTTTTAGGGTTAAAAGCACTCCTTCCTGACTTTCACCCGTAATTTTTCATTTTGCAACAAATTATGGTCTTCCACCTTGTATTAATGAAGACTTACCAATGAACGTTGAAGATTTTGGTTTTTGCGTATTTTTTTCATTTCTCTTGCACGATAGGCTCTTACATCATGCAAAAAACAATCAATCTGGAAAAAAAACAAGAGGGGGTTATTCTCTAAGAGTTGAGAAGTCTAAACAACGATTTTATCAACATCACCAAATTTATAAATAGCACACTCTAAAAATGGTATAAAATTTCAGTGAAACTTACACAAAATATAGCAATGCAGAAGAAAGTCTATACAGCCTTTCAAAACACATACTTTCTTGAGTGCATCAGAATTCTTCTGATGGATTAAAAGTAAAAAAAATTCAATCTTTCTCGTTAAAACCAAAATAAATTCAAAGTATAAGTAATAGGACCAAAGGTGGTTAGATAATTTATGTAACTGTTGTAATTGTAATGTAGAGATCACGCAACACCATTTATAAAGGTTTCCAAAGCATTGCCATGATCGTATCAAATATCAATATAACTAAAGCGGACAAAACTTCAAAACCGCCCTATTTGCAAACTTAATCCCAAAAACCGGCATGTTTCTCCTTTATTTGCAAAAACCGACCTAGTTTCAAAAAAAGTTCCCAAACTTCACAGGAGTTGAAGTCCCGTGAAGTTTTTTTCATAACAAAACTTCACGGGAGTTAAAGTCCCGTGAAGTTTGTTATATAAAAAACTTCACGGGACTTCAACTCCCGTGAAGTTTGTGAACTTTATTTTGCAAAAACCAACCTGGTTTTAGCCTCAGGGCTGAAACAAGGTCGTTTTTTGCAAATAAAGGTGAAACAGGTCGGTTTTTTGGATTAAATTTGCAAATAGGGCTGTTTTGAAGTTTTGTCCTAACTAAAGCAGTTCCTCAGTAAGATTGAAAAGAATCAGAACCATAAGGTGTCAAAAGCATGTCGTAATGGTAAATTTATGGTACCGTAAAAGTGTTGAGAACTAATCTAGTTCCATGTGAGGTACATTTTTCTTAAACATCAATATCCCCTCCCTTAACAAATATAATATTTGCCTTTTATGAGGGTGTGTGTCAAAGAAGAAACTCGAGACTCTCAAGATCAACATTTTTCTGCAACTGAAAGGATAAGGAAGGTTGCAGTAAATGTATATCATTTTGTGAGTAAGAAAAGTAAATGTATACGATGCAAAATGATGTTCTTTGTAAGAAAAACTTGCTAAATGTTTCTTTCTTTTTAGTAGCTGCTCTTATTTTTATACCCTCTTCCTTTCGCAACACTTCTAGATTGCATCCTGACTATCCAAATTTGGTTACTTAAATATTCTGAGTAGTGGTACTTTGCTCAGCAATCAAATCAGGATGGGGAGACACAGATTGTTCATATTATTTAATGATGGATGTGGTAGAGAAAGACTACTGCACTGGAGATTAACTTTCAGTGGTTTATACATACATACCCCTCAAATCATCTTATTTCCAAATTTACCCACCAAATCTGGATATATGTTAGTTAGTTAACACACATTGGATAAAACTAGCTTTTGATGAAATATACCAACTATTCTAGTGGTTCCTATTATAAATTTATTTCTCTATAACTATCTATTTTTAATTAAATCAATTTTAGCGAGAGATGGACAGGGGATCATCCATGACATCCTCGTCTTCATCAGTGAGTGTACAACGGAAAAGTCACTGATGAAAGAGAAGGTCCAACCTTTCCAACTAATCCCAACAAAACTTTTCTATGTCTGTACTCAACAAATAGGGAGGGCACCATAACAAGGATAGACTACATGTCCCTCTGAATGCTTCTTTCTTTTCTTAACTCTATTATGACTATATTTTCTTTGGGGTTGTTTTCATATATAGACCACCAAACAAAATCTCTCTCGCAAATATGTAGTGTTTAATTGCAAGGGTAACATGCAATTGAACTCGATCACTGCTAATCAAACTCAGAACAAATATTCTTCTAAACAAAAGTATTCTTAAAACTCAATTTACCGACAGCCCAAATTCCACTCCGAATTCTAAAAAAATCAACTCATAACTAAACTCACTTACAAGTTGCAACATTTATGATCGAAACCAGCCCCATAAACAAAACCATTTGCAATCCTTCACAAGTCACAAGCCCGTATAAATAGCAAATGACTACGCCTTGAAGCTGGAGAAAATTTCATCGAAGTCAAAGAGAGGGAATGTGATGGTTTTCTTTGCCTTCAATCAAAACTCTCACCTTTAACCAATAATGACCAAACTTCATCTTTGAAACTTTCCTCATCTTGTGGGGGAAGGGAATGTGGCCACTGGGCAAGGAAAGGGGTTGCAAGCAAACAGAACGTTGTTGATACAGGTGTATCTTCTCTCTGCTTCGGGAGCTTAGCAATCCTCATGGGAGCTTAAGGATAGACTATTCTCATGGTAGCTTGAGAATAGAGGTGTGGGTGGAGCTATAGGTGGCGGCAAAGAAGTCAAAAGCAGGAAAACGACAAGAAAAACAGGAAGCATGCAAGCACTCTGGCCGATCGACAGGGGTTCCAGCATCGGTCGACCGCGAAGACCAGACCGTTTGACAGAAGGTTCAGCATCAATCGACCGATATCAGATACGCTTACAGGGTTAAAAAGCATGCCTCTGGCCGGTCGACCGACGCAAGCATGTCGGTCGACCGGATCGGTTTCCTGGGCCAAACTGGACTCCTGAGACGTGTTTTCTAAGTGGCTTTGGGCTTGATTATTTATGATTTTGTCATTCACATTGTTAGACATATAATTGTTTAGGGTTTCTAAACATCAGATTGGATTCTAAAGAGAATATAGATATTATTCTTTATTCTAGTGAAATTGGATTGTGAGGGTGAGATTTTGTAATCTTTGATTCTCATAATCTAGAGAAGGTATTGTCCTACACCAATTGATTCATCTTGTGTGCTTTATTGTTTTCTTCTCAAACCACATTTGATAATTCTGCGATCAAAGGTGCTCGCGCGACGACTCATATCAAGTTGGTATCAGAGCAATCAGATCCGGTGAAGGGGGCATCCTGTGCATGGTCATTACTCGATCGTAATACAAGAAGTTAGACAAGATCCTTGTATCTTTGGGAGAAGTCCAGAAATCAAGGAAGAAGAAGATGACAGAAAGTGTCAATCAAGCGAGGCTTGATGCATTGGAGAAGCAGATCGAAACAATCAGGTCGACTCTCACGTAACTCATCGATCTCATCCATGGAGGAGACAAAAAGGGTGAATCTTCTTCGAAGTCCAAGAAGAAACCTATTGAATCCGGTGGAGACAGTGAGAATTCAAATTCAGACGAGGAGGTCGAGACCGTCAAGACTGTTCCACATCAATGGGGTAAGGGTTCTTACCAAAATCTGAAGATCGATTTCAGAGTAGAGATTCCTATTTATGATGGGAGTGTAGACGTCGAGAGGCTTGATGATTGGATCGAGCGTATGGAAACGTATTTTACTATTTATGGCTATTCGTCTAGAGAGAAGATTATTTTTGTGACTTTGAAGCTTTCCGGGCACGTGGTGGAAGTCCTACTGTAAGCAGGAAAAGAAAGCGGTGTCGTGGAACAAGTTTAAGGAACTACCGAGGAAAAGAAAGCGGTGACTCGTATCAGTTGTAGGTTTAGGTTGAAAAGGGCTAACATTAGGAGGGATAGCAGTTAAGTAGATTAGTTGATATAAATTGCGCACTAAGTGTTGAATGATGAGATAGTGGCAAGGTTTTACACAGCGGTTATCGAAAATATATTGGACAACTAGAATTCATATCGGATCCCAGTTATTGAGGATATATTGGGGATAAAGAGTAAAAATCAGTGTTATATCGGTGAGCATATAAAATATAATATCCTAAAATAAAATCTAAGCACATTTAACCAAATATCGAGAGTCTTCAAGAGAGGTGGTCGAAAGAGGTCTTGGAGGGAGAAATTTACACCGATATATCAAGGCAAATCGGCTAAAAACGACAATGCGATAAATTTTTACAAAAATCGTATCGGCCACGGCCCAAACCCTATATATCAATGATAAATTGATAAATCGACCTATATTTAAAACATTGGATAGCGGTAAGTATTATTTAGATTAATTCTTGCAGATATTATATAGTTTCCACAAATCTAATAATGGATTATATATTTTTGTAACTTTAGTGACGCTTGGGCATTCTTTCCTGATAGATACGCTGACGAAATAGTCAGGTCTTGCCACTGTTATATCTTGGGAAGTAAGCCGTGACAATATCAAAACAAAAAGAAGATTATCAAGAGGAAGAGATGATTTGCCATGGCAACAAAGACGCGCTCCAGAGTTACGCTAAGGCTAAATAACGGTACAGTAGATTTCAAAATATACCAAAAGCAATATAAATAGAAGTAACTGATTCTATGTTGGTGTGAAGACTCAATAACAAATTATTGCAGGTAGAGGGTAATTACTCCAGCAAATCACTAGACGAAAAACAAGACCCACCGTATACTAAATCAAGATAGCATGTGCAGCACATACCGTTTCATAATAGTCCTCCCGATGGAGCAACAAAAGCAAAAGGGCCTTTTCGCGTTGTAGGATTTGTTCAGCCTCTTTTCGAAGTCCTCCTATGATTTTATCAGCCTAAAAAGGTTGGATAATTGATATAAACAAAACTGGGGATCAATTAAAATTAGATGTAGCCTTTCAGAAGAAGATGCAAACCTTGTCCCGTGCCTGATTAACAATCTCCAACGCATCATGTTCAAACTTTCGAAGTTGAGCATCTATTACTTCCTACAGCAATATTCAATTTAAGTAACAGATCGCCGTGAGTATAATTGAAGGAAAAAAAATGATGTGAGCTTTTATGATGGATGTTAGTATTTAGTACTACCGGAGGAGTGCCTTCCAACACAGGTTGAAATTTCTTATTAATTTCTGCAAGAATCTTGAGTCGATCCTTAAAGAGAACCACTACATTTCTCCCAATTGATCTATAAACCTGTACACAAATTTCAAAAAAAAGAGGGGGATCTTCCATTAATTAACACTATCCCTGTTCTTCAGGGATCACATTTTATATAAAGTATATACCTCCTTGTCAATTTCGCGATTGGAGCAGCACAAGGTAGTCGATATCTTGAGATCTGAAAATTCTGTATTGCGATCGGAATATTCCGTGTCGACCCACTCGTTTAGATTGCAGAGGGATTGGAACTTCCGGGTTAGATATATCCCTTTTGCACACTTCTGTTTGAATCCTTCAAGAAATTGTTGCTGAATCTGCTTAACCATCATTAATACAAAAAAAAATTAGTAAATATGAATGTTCTTCGACCACAATAGAAGGGGAAATAGGGGGTTTAAGAGACGTGGGGGAATTTTAAAAAAAAAAATGAGAGAGAGAAAGGGAGATGCATACATCGTCTTGCGGGGCTGCCATGCCGTCAAAGACGAAATTTTGGACTAGGGTTAGGGGCTACCGTTCTGGCGCAAGATAGACTATCTACTTCCTTATCTATTCCTTTATACAAATAGGAGGATCAGAGATTTACTATTCATGCTACAGTAAATACTACAGTAACATTTACTATAGCATTATTACTGTAGGCAATAATTAATTTAAAATATTACTGTAGCACACGGGTATACTGTAACATTTAAAAGGTACTGTAGTAGAACGGGATACTGTAGCACTTCTAAAAATTCAAATCATCTTATATTAAAAAAAGCGAGATTACTATAGTAAAAAAAATGCAAACTAGTTACTAAAAAGAGAAGAACAAAAAAACATCTAATGAACAATAACTTTCAAAAATAATTTAAAAATAGTTTTAATAACCACCATCTAACCCTCACTCTCATAGCAGTTATCGTTCCCCTTAAACCGGAGAAGAACTGCCCAAAACTAATTAGTATCTTCTCTCTGCCCAACTCTCTCCATCTCCTTCTATTTTTCTCCATCTCCTTTCCCAATTCCCCCTAAATAACTTCCTACCAAACCTCCGTTGTCATCTCACTCCTCAGTCGAGTTCTCCTCGATCGAGTTCTTAAAATCCTCGACATTCTCGCTCGAAAGGACGATCCCTTTGATCCTCACAAACTGAAGTAGTAAGGGCTCCATCTTCGATCCCTTCCTCGACTTCCCAGTCTTCCCCCCTTCACTCAACGGCAACGGCAGCGGCATCAGCACCGCCTTCATTCCTTCCACCAACGAGGTCTCGGCGTTCGCTAGGGCCCACGTCGACTGGAAGGAGACTGCAAATCATAGCCTTCTCTTCTTCTTTCGAACCGCAAAAAGAAAAAGGAGGAAAACGAAGGTGAAAATATCCAGATCTCTGCCCTCTCTCTCTGTAAAGATCCCACCTTTTTCTCCCATCTCCGATCGTCGCCGCCTCCGTCTCCGACCGTCGCGACTCTGGAATCAGCGCTGATTTAAAGTCTCTGGTAAGTGTTTTGCTGCTTGATTTCATGAATTCCCTGTAATGATTTTGGATCTGCAGAATTAGCTAGGTTTTTTTATTGTTGCATTAGCTGATTAACTGTTCTATAGTCTTTTCCCTTTTTATTTGAATGTATTTGTTCTGCAATTATGAATTAGAGATCCTGACTTGGTTTGCTGATCGCGTACAAAATCGAAATTGGAAACCAAATATATCTCAAATATAAAGAAGGGTGAAGGAGAAAGCTTTGAAATTTATAATTTTTATGTTGTACCAACCACGTGTATCAAATACTAAGATGTAATGACTAAAAAATTTTGAAGACTCGGGTGATAGATAAATCGGTGTTAAAGACAAGGATTATATTTCTAAGTGCTATATGTTATTTAGAATTGAATCAAGTTGTTGATACTAATCTTAAAGTAAAAGATACTCCTATAGCTATGTAATCTTATATGCGGACAAAAAAACATATGCAGACTAGCTCTCTTTGAAAATTGTTCATCATCTAAATTACAAGAGTAGAGCAATATGGAGCTAAATAAAAATAAAAAGATAACAAAGGTCGTGACTCCACATGACACCATCTAACCCCAATCTATGGAGCTAAATAAAAATAAAAAGATAACAAAGGTCGTGACTCCACATGACACCATCTAACCCCAATCCTTGAAAAACCCTTCTCCTTAACTTCTAATATTCTTTCCAATTTGGACAATAATACTTCTAATCACTATTGGAAACTATTTCATAGATGATTACCATGTCTGACCCTTTTGTCATCTTTTTAGCAGTTTCGTTGCATATGGAGTTAAATCCTGGAGATCTGTAAGATAACTCGGAAACTGTAGTAAAAGAAATGGCACCTACAAGCAAGGCAGTCAAGAAGGCAACGGCGGATACAGCTGCAAGGTTGTTCAATGTAGTGACGTCTGTTGGAATCATCATGGTCAATAAAGCCTTAATGGCTTCATATGGCTTCAGTTTCAGTAAACTTCAAGTTCTTAGTGGCTACATATGGTCAAAAAAGCCTTAATTTTACAGAGACGGATTTGATGAGTTCTCATTGGGACAGTGACGATGAGTATGAAATATTCTTTCAGAGAATGAACCCACCAAGATTTGCATCTTTTGGTTTTTTTGGTATATTCTTTTATTCATTTACTTTCAATCTTCTAATTTATTGTATTTGTTCCATGTTAGGGTTGTAATTGATAATGAATCATGTGCTAATGCAACAGTTGTTAGAGTAAGTTTTTTTTACATAGGTTGATAGTGCAAATAAATATGGAATTCTTTGAGGTTTTACAGGTTCTCACTGATCTCAACCTTATCATTACAAAAGCTTATATAATCTCTGATGGAGGATGGTTCATGGATGATAATATTCTTTTAGAGGTTGTACAGGTTCTCACTGATCTCAACCCTATCATTACAAAAGCTTAATTTGAGTCAAACTGTTCAGTTTATGAAGATGTTCACATTGATAAAGTTGATTTATAATGCTTAATTTTTGAGTTATAGACGAGAGGTTGAGGGATACTTCTATTATTAATGCAAATCTATCATGTTATTTATCAATTTTCCTTCCTAATATTTAGGCATTTTTGGTATTTTTCATATCAATTTAGGTTATTAAGTTTTCATCATCTATTTGATCTATCAAATTATTCCGAACTCTTGGGATTAAAATTTCATTGTGTATGTTATAAGAGAGATTAACAATTTTTGAGAATTTCTACTTTTAAAGAATATTATATGTATTATATATTATTAATATTAGAATCTTTTAGTATGTATTCCATCTATTTTCCATCATTTAATTTGAGTTTTATTGTTAACCTGCTCTTAAATCGTACATATACAAGGCAAAATCACACTGCATCATTTAATTTGAGTTTTATTGTTAACCTGCTCTTAAATCGTACATATACAAGGCAAAATCACACTGTGTACACTCATTTAACCATGATTCATTGAGTTTTTGGTTAAAGAAGATTATGTCACTAATTAATATATATTTTTGATTGTGGGTGACAACTCCTTCGATAGAAGATTGAAAGCACTAGAAATTTGGATGGTGTTAAGTCAAATACTCTCTTGGTGACAAGCAATGAGAATGTAAAGATACGAGATCCAATGTTAGTCAAGTTTTCAAGGTAATCTTTACCTTACGTTCTGTGAATAGCATTGGATATTCATGAATACGACACAGAAAATGACACTGTTGCAAATTGAGTTGGCAAGATGAAGAAAGTGCTAAACAAGAACCAAACTTCGTGGAAGGTAATGAAGGTTTCACAATGAATCATACTTTTCCAGACATTTTCGTATTTATATAGTTCATGCTTCTTTTTTGTTTATTTATTAACAAACATGAATGTCATTATCTGCATTACATCTACTCTTTTATTTCTAAAGAAGAATACTTTATTTTGGTAACATGTTCAGTATTTGCAGGAAATCTTTTAGAAACTGAGTAATCACATTATCCATAAATATGAATGCTTATATATTTTAATGATACTTTTTTGGTCAATGAAGCACTTTATTTCATTCAACAATATATGTAAGTTTTGTCATCAAGATACTCATGAAAAGAGATAACAACACAAAAAGACTAACACTAGGGGCATCCCCCTAAACTTCCACCTTGATTTTTACTTAATTACTGAATTTCTCTTTGCCTTGCTTTTTTGAACTTGAATATATGAATTGTCAGCCTGAGAAGAGCTCATCTCCAGGGTATGACTCCTCAACATGCACGACATGCACATCCCTATTCTTTTAGCTGAAATAATGCATCCCCCAGTAGTCAGATTCTCTTATTGCTCAGTATTGCTCAGTCTGCTGGGCATGCACACATGCACATGCCCATATTCAAAGGCAGAACACCTACTTGCATCCAGACTATGTATCTCCAAATTCTTCCACCTTGATTTTTACAGCGAGAGCATACAGTCTTTGTTATCAGCTAACAAAACAAAAAAATGAGATGAGGAAAAATTACGCACAAAAATAATCTGTAAAGATGTCGTGCTTAGCACGGGATGAATACTAGTTATATCGTGAGAGGAAGAAACTTTCCTCTTTTTTAAGTTCGTATCGTATGCCTATTGCATAGTAGTAATTGGTGATTTAGGCTATGACGGGTCGGATTTTGTGTGTATTATATCTTACCCGACCTACGTATCCTTTTTATTTTGGCTAAGGGATGCCGTGTTCGGCTGATAGGAATTATCAGAGCCAAAAGAAGGAAATCAAAGAATAGGAAACCTATTTCCTAGAAAAATTGTTTTGAGATTGTTTGGTTGGCTAAAAAAAAGAAGGAAATCAAAGAATAGGAGATGAGATGAGATGAGTTGTCCATATATTATTGGATGATGTGTGTGATTTTTTAAGAAAACTTGTTTTGAGGTTGTTTGATTGGCTAAAAAATAAAGAAATTAATTATAAGAAACATATTTCTTATAATATGTTATTTTATTGTGTTTGGTTCATTCTTAAAAATAAGAAAATAGATGAGATGAGATGAGTTGTCATTATATTATTGGATGATGTGACTCATACTTAAGGAAATCAATTTTCTTTTTTTTTTTGAGAAATGGATGGAAAAGAAATTTTAATGAGATGAGATGAGTTGTCACCATATTATTGGATGATGTGGGTGATTTTTAAAGATGAGATGAGATGAGTTAGATGATGTGACCCATTTCTTATGTTTGGTTTATTTTTAAAAGTAAGAAGGGAGATGAGATGAGATGAGATGAGTTGGAGGATAAAAATAATATTTTATTGGATGTTGGGGATGAGTTTTAAAGATGAAAATGGATGAAAATAATATTTTATTGATTTCCATGTACCTATTTCCTATTCTTAGGTTTAGGAAACCAACCAAACAGCCCCTGATAGGAATTATCAGAGCTAAAAGAAGGAAATCAATCTTATTACTTTTTAAATTTTAAACTATGAAATAGCGGAAATACTATTTCTTTATTTAGAATGAAAGTAAAATTTTTGTTCTATTCTTATTCATGAGTAAAAGTGTAATTTCATGAGTGAAAGTAAAATTTTTGAGTGTCAAAGAAAAAGGAAAAAGGATTCGTTTCACATTTTACCATTAGGGTTTTTCAAAATTAGTCCCTTAAAGATGACCTATTTTGATATTAGTCCCTCAAATATTTATATTTTGACCCCTCAAATTGTATTAAGTTGTTGATGTAAGTCCCCCTGTTAACTTTTACGTTAATAACACACCAAACTATAGTTAGGTTTACTCTAGCCACATGATATTTTACCAAAATAGCTTGTAGTTTTATTCAACCCAACCAAATATAGCTCTCTCTTGTTAGGTCTCGTGTTTTGATGATGATTTACAAACCTCATTACTGGTACTAATTGCTTGTCAAGTGATCTTACGCAGGATATGTTTATCAAGCAATATGTAGTGTCATGTAAAGGATGATGGATGGATTTGCATATTAACGATGATATTCATGGGGGTGGAGGCAACTTGATGAAGAAGCCTTAAATGCCCAAAGATCGACTCAAGCAAATATCTACTTAAGAAAAGCTTTCAAGTATATATTCAAAAAGAGCTTCATCAACAACAAAACTTAGCAAATATTAACATTCAAGCATTGTATACATGTGTAAGCGATACTTGTATTTTTACTTCTCTCTAGATCATATTGTAGGAAAGAAATAAAGTTGATAACTCTTGAAGCATAAGGGGATTACACACACACACTTCAAAATTCATTTTTGTCAAAATCTTCAAAAAATCATATTTTTTAGTCTTTCAGTCAACCGAGCGTAATCATCGGTCGACCGACTGTATTTCATTTGATAGCATCTGCAAACTGGTTCTGTGCGGTCGACCGACCATAACTATCAGTCGACCAAAATTGTCGACTAGTTGACCGATAGTGATAATCAATCGCACTGTATTTTTTCAGTCGTTCTGGTAAGTAGACTGGTTAGTTGCTCAATCGACTGATCCCGGATTTTCTGGTAACAGCTAGTTTTATCTGTATCCGGTTTTTAATGGATTTCAGATAAGATTTCTGGGCAGAATTGATCTGATTTGTAGCCCATATGATATGTTTTGGTTGATAGGCTACAAATAGTCCTCAAAGACCCATTGATTCTAAGAAAGTTTTTACAGAATAATCTAATCTCTCATAAATTATTTGGCACAATCGTCATTTTTCTAAACCGTGATGAGGATATTGGATGAGAAGATCTTTAAATCGGTCAAAATACTTCCAAAAAAGTTCTCCCGGGACAATTTTAAAATTCATGATGTTGTTTCTTAGCTTCACCATTTTATGGATAGGAAAAAATTTCTTAAGAAAAATGGTGATAAATTCCTCCCAAGTAGTGATGGAATTTACGGGTAAGCTATACAATAATTTTTTGCTTTGTCTTTGAGAGCAAATGGAATAAATCTGAGTTTGATCGCATCTTCTGTTAATTCTCTCATTTTAATCATAATACACACTTCCTCAAATTCCAAGATAAAAATATATACATCTTCTGTTTTATTTCCAAGGAAATTGGGAAGCATATTTATGTAATGCGGTCTAAGCTCAAAATTTATTCCATTTGTTTCGGAGAGCCTAATACAAGAGGGGATTACATTCCTAATGGGATAGAACATATCTTGAAGAACGGGTGGATTAGGATACTCCATTTCTATGATTGGTTCAAAGTGAATTAATCGATGTGTGTTATCCCTAATCCACGGTTGCATACACCAAAACTATTTCTTTTTATACTTTTTTTTATAAAAGTTAGTTTTTTTAATGAAGAGAGAATGGAAAAAGAGGAAAAACCCAACTAAAACAAATCAAAATCAATCACTTTGCAATCACTCTAACTCTAGGGTTAAGCCTAACTCAACTAGACTAGCTCCTAACCAAAAAACTCTGTCACGCCCCGCTTCCCAAAATACCGGGGAATCGGAACGTGAACAAGCCCGCGACGTATTAGATTGAGAAGAAATATATATACTATCATTTTTTCTTTTCTTTTCTTCTCAATCCAATACGCTAAGCGTCAAATATATAAATCTCAGTCACAGGTCCCCGATCACAATAGTAAGAACATAAAGACAACCCAGAATAAGAAATGAATATATCATCAACAGATCATCCCAGACATAAAATATGGGTTCAACATACCCTTACTACAACAACAGTTCAACTAGAAAATAAGAAATACATAATCCATAATAAAAGAAAATACTAACAAAATAACCAAATCTGTCACCAACTAAAGAGAAATACTGTAAAGTGTTCTACCAACTGCTACAGAAAGAAAAACAAGTCTAGGCTTCAATTTGTTCTTCTACTCCATCGGAAGGACATTCCGGCTGGGCATACACTGGCTCGGCCGCATCATCGAACTGAACCTGTTCGTCTCCTAAGTCTGACGCACACCAGAGAAAACATGTGTACGTCAGCGTGTATGGCACACGGTAAGATCTCACATGAACCAATAAAACGATCTAACGACCCATGCTATGACAATAATAATATTAACAAGATATACAATGATACATGCAACTGAAAATCTAATGGTAACATACAGCTATGGGAATACAGTAACTAAGTCGAATACTAACCAACCTAAAACTCAGTGGTCCACATCTCACACAGAGTCAACGCTCTTGTCATCGGATAAATGGTTGTTCACAAATCCCCTACGTGCATCCAATCCCGCTACACATGCGGCCAGAGGACTACACGTAAACCGTTTTCTGCCTGGTTCGAACTCTAGCACAACTCGGGTGACGAACCGATTTCACTGACTAAAGTGATGTACACACTTTACTTTAGCCCTACAAACCAACTCCGGTGGCGACACCAACCACGGGAGCGAGCCTGGAAGATACATCAACAGTCTTATCCGATCACATGAACATTAACTTCCCCATCCCAACTCTTCTCGTTTTTCTAAGTTAACCATAATCCTCATTGGAAACTCGGGTTCACCGCCTAAACCAGTCAACACACTCACACATGTCACTAAGTCTGTTCATGACGCACGAGGCCACTAAGTCATGAACTACTAAGATTCTCAACGCATCAAGAAATCATGATTATAGTATAGCATGTTCAACATGATTATGCAGGTTCATGTAGCAGAAAAGAGAACTATAATAAACATGAAGGCATAAACAAAATACTACAGCGTGAATACATACATAAGAAACCTCATCACTACTGGAATTTCCAAACTCCTCATGCAAATATCCGTACTTACGTATTTTCTAGAATAATCATACGGTAGAAAGAAAACTAGAAACCGATGTCGTTTTGCACGTGAAATATCGTGCACTACGACGTTCAGTCATACTATCATAAATAATAATATTCTTTTTCCAAAATTATTCTTTAAAACTATTTCTCGTCATAACTAATTTAAAATAATTATATTAATTCTTTTCTGCATGAAAAGTAATATTTTCCTATTTTATAAATTTTTCTTAATTAATTCATTTTCGTTAAAAATTCGTAAATTCTAATTTTAATACATAACTTGTCATTTCATATCCACAATCTCTTAAAATACAATTAGCAACATTGTTAATCTAATTTTTATCGTGCACTCGAAATCACTATTCCACGTAAATATTCAAAATTTCATATTAACCACAATAAATAATTCAACTACCTATAATAATCATACTAATCATAATATTAATCATAAAATAATTTATTCACATCTAATCATCAAATTAATTCACGATATTAACCATTAGTTAAGAAACAAGGTAAACGCGAGATCTTGCCTTCGACGAGTCGACTGCGAGTGTGGCTAGCGGCGTCGACACGGTGACGACAGCCGAAAAGCGTGGATCTTGGACAGCGGCACGGTTGCGCAGCGTGGTTGTGCTCGTCGGTGAATCTGGCTAAGACGACGGCGGGGGAGGACTGTCGAGGGACTGCAGCGACGGAGAGGGGCGAGGGGATATATAAATTTACAGACTCTGCTTTAATCTTAAGTCATCGATTTTAAAAAAAATTATAACAATATGTAAAATAACAAAAAGATACAACTCTCAGGTTCAAATACAAGTTAAAAAGGGAAAAATTACACTGGGAGTCGTCGGAGCCTCCTTATTCTTCGGAACAGTGACGCTGAATCCATCAAAACTCGTCATCACCGTCTTCAAGATAATATTTTTCTTCGCCTCATGAACGAACGCTGGGAAAGTTCCATCGTCGATGTTGATGCCGTTGAAAAATTTTAGAGGGAACTAGAATTTTTTCACTCAGAACCCATTTCAAATCATCATAGTGACATCATGAGAGAGAGAGAGAGAGAGAGAGAGAGAGAGAGAGAGAATGAGTTGCGTGAGAGGAAGAGATGAGAGGTACAGTGAGAGATGAAGTGAGTGATGGAGAGAGAGAATGCTGAGGGATTATTTTAATGAGAGAGAGAAGTGGGGTGTACGTGAGTGTGATGGGCTTGAGAGTGAGGGGAAAGTGGGGATGTGGGGGAAAACGTGGGGTATGGAGAGAGGTAATTGAAAAAAAAATTAAATATTATTATTATTATTAAAAACAAAAATAAATAGGGAAAATTATGTCCAGGCCCCAAAAGTGAGAACTTCATGTGACAAGCCCCCTCGTATTTCGGCCCATGTGTATTAGCTCCAAAAAGTGAAGACTAATGTTTTAAGCCCCCTCCACGTCAGCGTTGTACCAAAGCAGATTGTATTTTTTCAAAAAAGGCGATACTGCCCTTCTTCTTCTTCCCCAAACGAGGCGCCATCCCTTAACAGTAGACACTCCTCTTTAATGCGATAAGATGGAAGAAATGGAGGGAAATTTCCCCCCTTTTTTCCCATCATGAGCAATAACTATTTAGTTATCCATTACTTCTCCTCAGACCAAAATTCTCTCCTTTACTCGCGCCATTAATCTTACCTTCTCTTCAAAATGGCTGAGAATGACATCATTTGCATTGTCTCTTCAGGTACAAAGCAGTATTTTTGAAGATTAACTCCTCAACCACCATCCTGGATCTCAAATTTGATGTGGCAGAAAGGTTAGATATTCCATATGAGTCATTAATTCTGTCATACGAAGATGAAACAGCTGGAAGCTTGAAATTTCCTATTGAGAACGAGGGGGACATGATGTCTATGGTGGAGCATTGCCACAATCTTGGACTGAAAGAGGTTCACATGAAAGCTTTTAAAGAAGCTGATGATTTGCAGAATATACACTGCAATGAGCGAGTCCAACCTTGCAAAGAGCAAGTCCCACAAGACATGTAGGTTAACTGCAAAGTAAACAAACGCTAGTGCTAATCGTCTTCTTTTTGTCTATGTTGAATGTTAAACTGGATTTCAGATGCATTTCAACAATATGTTAGTTGTAATCGTTGACCTGTTAGTTCTAATCAACGTGTTGTTGCTGAACGGGTTTTTGTTAGTTCTAATGGCTATTTTGTTAGTTCTAATCGCTATTTTGTTAGTTCTAATGGCTATTTTGTTAGTTCTAATCGTTATTTTGTTAGTTCTACACGATTGCATGCATCTTAGTTCTACATGATTGCATGCATGTTAGTTCTATTAATACATATAGGGGTTTCTGTTAGTTCTAGTAGCTATTTTGTTACTTCTACACGATTGTATGTTAGTTCTATCACCAGTTCCATATGGGGTAGAGCTACTCTAAAGCGTGTTAGACCTATCAACACTTTTATTTGTGTAGTTTATGATTAACTATTTTCCTGTTGTTAATATTTGTAGCGCTTCCAGAAGTCTAAACTCGAAAAGTATAGACTGTGGCCCGCCGGAGTTGTCGTCCACAACTGTTGCAGATAAGAATCCCAATGACATTCCTTCAAGAGATAATGTTATGATGATTGATGACATGATTAGCAGATCTGAGAGGATTCCTGCTTGGTGGCACACTGCGTTAACTGGGGAGGGGCAACGTTTTGAAAGTGCGAAGGAGTTAAGATTGGCCTTGCTATACTACTCCATGGCCAAAAAATTCGAATATGAGTTTGTGAAGAATGAACCAAAGCGTATTCGAGTTTTTTGCCGGTTTAAGGTAGCCAAAAATTGCCCATGGATGTTATTTGCCTCTCCGCCGAAAAATGATAATAGACTTGAAATAAAAAGGTTCGTGGACATTCACAACTGTGGACAACATGCCAATAATGCAGGTCAATCTAGAGCCTCTCGTCATTTCATTGCTACCCAATTACAACCCACGTTGAAGGTACGTCCGGATATACGACCTATTGACGTTCAGAAGGAGTTTCTAAGTTCATATGGGATTAGGGTTGAATATAGTAAGATTTGGTGGGGTAAAGAAAGAGCTCAAGAGCGATTATATGGTGATGCTTATGAGTCCTACGATCAATTGAGATGGTAAATCAGAAGATCATATATACACAAGTTGCTGTTGTTTTCATTTATATGACGCTATAAGTCTCATAACTTTATAATGTTGAAACTAACGCTTAATCTTCAATTATCTAGGTATGTAGACGAGGTTAAGAAGACAAATCCGGGAAGCTACATTCATGTTGAACAAGACGAGGGTAGGTTTACAAGGATATTCATCTGCTATGCGGCCTGCATAAATGGTTTTTTACAAGGTTGCAGACCACTTATATTTTTGGATGGAACCTTTCTGAAAGATCGATTCAAAGGTATACTATTAAGCGCCGTAGCATATGATGGCAATCAGGGGATATTTCCATTGGCCTATTGTATCTGTGATCAAGAAAATAATGTTAACTGGAAGTGGTTCCTACAAGGTTAGTTCCAACATTATACATGATGGTGCCAACAAAATAGAACTAACACACCACAATCAAATGCAGCTATTAAAAATGAACAAATAGAACTATCACGCTGCACATTAGTTCTAAAACTGAGGTGGACAGAACTACCACGCCAGACACTAGGACTAACACTATCAATATTAGAACTAACACAACAGAAAATAGAACTAACACTATCAATAACAGAACTAACACAACAGACAATAGAACTAACAAGAGAAATAATAGAACTAACACAACAGACAATAGAACTAACAAGAGAAATAATAGAACTAACACAACAGACAATAGAACTAACAAGAGAAATAATAGAACTAACACAACAGACAATAGAACCTAAAAAGAAAAAAAATAGAACAAACACAACAGACAATAGAACTAACAAGACAGACAATAGAACTAACACTATCAATAACAGAACTAACACAACAGACAATAGAACTAACAAGAGAAATAATATAACTAACACAATGAACAATAGAACTAACGGGCAAAATATTAGAACTGACACGACACCTGACAGAACTAACACTTCAGAAATCTTGTTCTAATATCGCTATTATAATTCTATCTCCTTCGTAGTTAACTTTAAGGGCTGTTAACCAATACTCTTTGTAGGTTTGTGGTCCATTCTCTATGAAAGGGCAGATCCATACCACCCTCCACATAAGCTAGTGATAATTTCAGATGCGGATAAAGGGATCAGAGAAGCAGTTAGAGAATTTTTTTTCCCGATTCTATACACTCTCGCTGTGTGCTGCATCTGGTCGAGAACTTCAGAACAAAGTTGAAGGATTTGGGATTCAAGTCAAAGGATTCTCAGATCTTGGGTAATCTACTGCAATCTGCATGTTACAAATATACTAGAGCAGAATGGAATGATTATATGGACGACATCAGACTAATTGACGAGCGTGCATACAATATTGTGATGAACTATGCTCCAGAAAACTGGGCCAATGCGTTTTTTCCTGGAGTTAGGCAAGTAATATTTCATTTGATTACCTTACATATAACTAATAGAAGTAGATAGAAATAACAATGTCTATGTTTAGATATGGTCACGTTACATCAAATGTTGCAGAGTCATTCAACAAATGGATTCATGAGGCAAGGCTTCTACGGATACTCCAACTGATAGAGCATATTCGTAAACAGATCATGGTGCGCATGAATGAGCGACGAGTCATGGCTGAAAGTTGGAATCAAGTTCTTTGCCCCAAAGCTGAAATTGCCCTCAAGGAGAACATGGACAATGGACGCCCGTTGGAGGTTCGTCAGTCCCACACAGGCTTATTTGAAGTACAATCTCATAGATCTTGTCAAATGGATCTAGACAATAAAACATGCACGTGCCGTGGGTGGGATGTAACCCGTGTCCCTTGCAAACATGCATGCGCAAGCATTATGTTTATGAAAAGGGATGTCTACCAATTCTGTGACTGGTTTATGACGGTTGACGCCTTTAAAAGGAGCTACGAGCCTATCATCTACCCTATACCTGACTACGAGAAACGCAGCGTGCCAAGGGATGAGATACAGATCCTACCTCCAATTACAACGAAAAGGAAAGGGAGAAATAAGACCAGGCGAATCAACAACAGAACTGTTTACACCCGGCCAGTTAAATGTTCTCGGTGTCATCTGGAAGGGCATAATCGTAAAACCTGTAATGAAACCATCGCTGACTAAGTGTGATTGAAATGAAACTAGCGATGACTAAGTGTGTTTTGAAATAAAACTATCGCGGACTATCGTAAAACATGTAATGAAAATAGATCTGACTATTGTCCGATTTGCTAGCACACTTCTAAAAATAGATCTAACATGGTACCTATTAGAATTAACAAAACAGACAATAGAACTAACAAGAGCGTTAATAGAACTAACAATAGAACTAACAAAACTAACACACTGAGCATTAGAACTAACACAATAGAACTAACAAAACAGACATTGTACCTAATAGAACTAACAAAATAGTCAATAGAACTAACAAAACAGACAATAGACCTAACAAAACAGACAATAGAACTAACAAAACAGACATTGTACCTAATAGAACTAACATGCTACACATTAGAACTAGCATGCCACTGTACAGAACTAACACACTGAGCATTAGAACTAACACGAAAACACATAGAACTAACACACTGAGCGTTAATGGAACTAACTCTCATTACAACTAACAAGAGCGTTAATAGAACTAACAAAATAACTAACACAACTAACACACTGAGCATTAGAACTAACAGAACAGACAATAGACAATAGAACTAATAAAATAGTCAATAGAACTAACAAAACAGACAATAGACCTAACAAAACAGTCTATTAGAACTAACAAAAAAGACAATAGAAATAGCCCAAACAAAACAGTCTATTAGAACTAACAAAACAGACAATAGAACTAACAAAGCAGACAATAGACCTAACAAAACAGTCAATTAGAACTATCAAAACAGACAATAGAACTAACAAAACAGACAATAGACCTAACAAAACAGTCTATTAGAACTAACACAACAGACAATAGAACTAACAAAGCAGACAATAGACCTAACAAAATAGTCAATTAGAACTATCAAAACAGACAATAGAACTAACAAAGCAGACAATAGACCTAACAAAATAGTCTATTAGAACTATCAAAACAGACAATAGAACTAACAAAACAGACAATAGACCTAACAAAACAGTCTATTAGAACTAACACAACAGACAATAGAACTAACAAAACAGACAATAGACCTAACAAAACAGTCATGGTACCTAATAGAACTAACATGCTACACATTAGAACTACCCCGCACAACTAACTCAGTATATAGAACTAACACACAAAAACAGCAGTAAATATAGATATAACTGGTCAGTACTAACACGCCAGCTAACATAAGTAAGTACAAAGAAAATCAGTACTAACCCGAAGAAGGGGTAAAATTAAAACTGTATTTGTTCAGATGAAAAATATAAATAAAACTGGGCCAATGCGTTAAGCGTTAAACTCGATTGGTGTCGGATCTTCATTTGTTGCTACCTTCGTTGGATCGAAAGCGATGTGAGGATGGAGAGCTTGGAGCCGTGGAACCACTATCCGCCCCGGCTGGGTCTAATGGGCGATTATCATTGGGTGTTGGGAGAGCTCTGGGATAATTGGAACCCCCGACTCCTTGGTTACGGAGAAACAGCTGCCACTGGTCTCTTTCGACCATCATGTTTCTCCCGTCCCAAACAACCTCAATTAACTCGGGCGTGGATTCCTGAAGCAATTCCAACTTCTCCCCGCTCTGGACCCGCGTCACGGCGTAGCCTTCCTTTATGTTTCCGTCGCCGGGGGAGATGTAACGGAACCTAAGCCTCTTAGGGATTTCAGATAAATTCCTAACCTTCAGAAGAACTCTGCAGTCTGCGAAGTTAGAATGTGTTATGACGTCCCTGGAGCACATGACACATTCACCGACTCCCATGAGCAGCGAGCGAAGAAATTCAAAATTCCACAGGTGGTATGGGACATTGAATAGCCGAATCCATACTGGAAAAGTTTGCGGCAACGTTACTAGCCTCAGATCCTCCTCCCAATGGCGGAA